AAAAAAAAAAAAAGGTTGATGGTGTAAAATTTAGTTGCACTTTCTGTTGCTCTGGTATCGTAAGAAAACTTGTAAAAGATTATCTGCTGGATAAAGATTTATTTTGTGTTTATGTTTTTGTGGAGAGATTTCAATTTTTACATTTTCAAAGGTTTCTAAAGCCAAGTGTTGGTAGGCGCATAGCCAATATCCACTATTCAAAAAAACAAAAAAAAACAAAAAAAATCTCTCACCATCATGCAGTTTTTTGGCCTCTCTCTGAAGGGCCATCCCAGATGCATAGGCCTCTATACAGCCACGGCTGCCACACATACACTCTGGGCCTTCCAGGGAAACCATGATGTGACCCAGCTCAGCAGCACAGAAGGTACTACCATGGACCAACTCATTGTGATGGATAATTCCTCCTCCAATACCTGCACACAGAGTCAAAATATGTTTTACTTCCTGAGACTTAAATAACCAGACGATGTAATTTACAAAAAGAATAAGGCAGTAAATATTATTTCAGCTGTAAAAATCATCATCGCACTTTGTTTGAATTCATACAGGTCTCACAGTTATCATTAGTGGTGCAACGGATCAAAAATCTCATGGTTCGGATCGGATCACGGTTTAAAGTCACGGATCGGATCAATTTTCGGATTAGCAAAAAAAGAAAAAAGACAAAAATTTAACATTTACTTATTGAAGTATTTTTTGCCTGTTTAAAAACATTCACCTCAAGACTCATTCCACACAAATATTTAAAAAAAAATTTATGGTACAATATAGGGCAGTATAGGGCTTTGTATCTACCACTCAATTCAATTCAATTTTATTTATAAAGCGCCAATTCACAGCAACAGTCGGCTCAAGGCGCAAGGTAGACCCTACAATAATACACCATACCACTCATTATATCGCACTCCGCTGTGATATAATGAGCTGTCACGTAGCTTTCCGTTGCCCTGGAGGTCCTCCCATTTGTAGTAGTTAGGGCAACAGAAGATGCCTGGGACAGTTCAGCCACAACTTAAATCTTTTCCTGCTCATACATGCTTGGAACGATCTTGCCACTAAAGTGGACGCGAACGGGATATCATAGCGTGGCTCAAGCACGTTCATCATAGTTTAAACCCCTTGTTTTGCACAACGGAATACAGCCTCCCGTCTGCAGCTAAACACCCCAGTAGCTTTTGTAATAGCTTTAGCCCGGTCGGACTGGGCAGCAAAGGGCTGCTTAAATACCGCAAACTCCTCTGCTCCTCCACTTGGACCGCTAGCGCTGGCCCTAACTATTGCTTGACAGACCCACCACGCGCACCATACACATACTTATTTTTTCTTCTTTTTCGAATCTTCGGATCATGTGCGTACCGAACCGTGGAGTGGGATCGGTTCGGATTACGGATCAACTGTGATCCGCTGCACCCCTAGTTATCAAGCAAATAGATGAAGATCCTCATCTGAAAAACTTTAAAAAACAAAAACTTCTCACCTGTTCCTGTGATGACTGTGACAAAGTTCTCCACTCCTTTGCCGTGACCAAACTTCCTCTCTGCCAGTGCAGCACAGTTGCCATCATTGTCAACCCAGACGGGTAGGTGTAAAGCATCTGATATGGGCGTTCTTAGGTCCACAGAAGACCACTCCTGAATCAGCTTTGTGGAGTGAAGGACCACACCATCTTGGGGGTTTACACGCCCACCAGTGGACACTCCTAAAGAGCAGAAATAAATCTGAAATTGTTGTGCTGGGTTTTTTTCCTATGTGTAAATGTGTTTTAGTATTAGTGTGTTTTCATACCGACACCAAGTATTCTACAGTTAAGGCCCACAGCATCCCGCATGGCATCATTGCACATCTTTAATATGAGTTCCATTCTGGCCTCGAAAGTCTTTGGATTGGGCTGGCTGTATTTCTTCACTATGGTGCCCTGGAAAAGTTTAAAAAACAAAACAGCAGAACAGACAAAAGCTTTTGAAAGTGAAAATGAAGAAACATTTAAAAAAAACATTTAAAGTTTAGTGTTCATCCAGCCTACCCTCATGCAGACAATGGCCACTCTGAGGTTGGTCCCTCCCAGGTCGACGGCCAAAGCACTTTGTGTCTCTAGGATATGATCAATGTCCTGGGAAATCGGATCTTTCACAGGAGGGAAGCAGAAGGTCTTTTGGAGAGGCTCGTCCAGGTCAATAGAACGGAGAAACTTGAGAATACGAGGCACTGCGTTGCCATCACCATAAATCTTAGAACTGATTTAAACAAACAAACAAACAAACATATTTGTGTGTTTGCATATTTGCTAATATAAACATTTTTTTAAATTTTGTTTTGACTCCAAATACAGTTCAGTGTAACCCATTGTTACATTATTACCATCTCCTGATTCTCAAACCTTTTTTTTTAATTTTTTTCCCGGCCGTTGCTTTTGCCTTTCCCCTTTTTTTAAAAATAATTTGGATAAAATCTGCCTTATAGACGAACAGTTTGGTAAAGTAACACAGTTTTCTTCTTTCTAAGACTGCACACAATAATCACAGACGTATATAACATTCACCTGCATGTCTATTGTTGGTTAATGAGCCTGACCTGATTCTGTACAAAACGTGTTATGTTAAACATACCATAGGATATACATTAGGGCTGCCACAAACGATTATTTGGATAGTCAACTAGTCACCGATTATTTTTGCGATTAGTCGACTAATCAGATCCATTGGACGTAAAACGTACAGCTTATTGCACCAGCAGCATCTGCTCTAATATAACTATCATTAGCTTACATCTTTAAGTGTTTAAGGTCTGTGCTAACTAAAAATAAAGACAAGATGATAGTTTATTAAATTTTAATGAAATTTGCAGATTGTTTCGGTGAAGTTTAATAATCTCCTTGCTATCTAAAATATAAAAGGGCACCGGAGTATATTCTCCAGCATCTCACACTTCTGATAATCAGTTGTCTGCTTGACGTTTATTTAGCTGTGTAAAAACTATAACTTTAATCTCAGCCAAACCGATTTACTCAGGAACAAATAAAATACTAAAAAAAAGCCAAACAATAACATTGTTAAGTTATCTAAGTGACTTATATATCATGTTTAACCTGAGTAGCGAAAGACAGCGGTGGGTTTGAAAACGATTTGCCTAGAGTTCTCACGGCTCTAGTTAGCCTTGCCCCCGGCTAGCTATCGAGCTAGTAGGTAACAGACGTCTCTGAAAACGTCGGAGCGCTTTTGAAAATATGTGGTGTCCTGATAAACTGAGCAGATATTTGAGGTTTACACAGCTACATTCTCGCCTGAAAATATGTTAAACGTTTATTTTGTGACCCAGAAAGAATAATAAGAGTAAAGTTAAAACTAACTAGCTACCGCCATTGTTGGAAACTGAGCTGGGCTGCGCTATGAATTCTGGGACACAGCTTCTTCTTCTTCGGGGTTTAACGGCAGCTGGCATCCTTGTACATGCAGTGCTGCCCTCTTCTGTTTCAGTCCATTATTACACTCTTAAATCCTACAACTTATTCCTGCGTCTTTTGGGATCTTACAAAGCTTCAAACGACGCGTCGACTATTAAATTAGTCGTCAACGATTTTGATACTCGACGTAATCGTGACTAGTCGACTAATCGTGGCAGCCCTAATATACATCTTGCCATTTCCTGCTACTTCTAATATCTTAAAGGGCTTTAACAAAGACAATTCATCAACTGACTCATTTGATAGATATGCAAAAAGTAAGTACTGGCTGGCAGAGGAAAAACAGGTCACACAACTTGAATGTGACAAACTGATAATGACAGACTGTAATTTCCAACATATTTTTGAAATCCTGTTCAACAGGACTTTAACTGGCACTGTAAGTAAAGTTACTGAAAATATACAGCAGTTCCTTCATTGAAAGAAGGCTTGGCAAAATAAAATACACAGTTAAAAATTTGGTCAAACACCCAGGGGACAAATGAAGATTGTACACTGGCCATACCAGGGGTATCTCTTTCCAAACTGCAGCTCCAGAGCATGGTAGATTTTATTGTGAGTGTCGGCATCTCTGACATGTAAAACATTTTCACCTGGGAGAAAAAAAAAATGTCCTCAAGTTAATAAGAAAAACAACCTGAGGAAAATAACCTTGATGTTTTTGTACTATTTTGTCTTCCAGCAGCCTCAATCCTTTAAATGTTCAAGGACAATTAATTCATGTCCCAGTAAATGATTCTTTCCAGCTATACCACACATACTGACATTATATTACTCAATCATTAACATATACTAAAAAAATAAATAAAACATGAGTCTCAGTGGAGTCTTTTGGACTATGATGACCTGACTGTCTACTAATAGTGCTGGGTGTTTGTCTCCTGGAGATGGGATTGATAGCGGATATTATGGGAATAGTATGAGAAAGTTCATGATGGGATAATCATTCCCGCTGTAACTTGTTTTCACCTTTTCCTCTTGATATTGCGTGACTTAAAAAGAAAAGAAGAAAAAGAAAACGTTGCGCCTTTGTTTAGCTCCTGTGAAGCTTTGTATGAGATAAGCTCAGGGCAATTGACATTCTTGTTACACCTACCTGTTTCTCTGCCTGTTTGTCTTGTTCCCAGGTTAATGACAGGTGTGCCAAAGGCCCCAGCCTCTCGTACCCCGCAGCTGCTGTTTCCAATCATGCAGCCAGCATGTGACACAAGCTGGATGAACTGCTCAAAAGGAATGTGCTTCACTGCTCGGAAGTTTGGGTGTTGCTCAATCCCCTTTCTTCGCATAACACGTACCATCTCCTTACTTCCTGTTTATAGGAGAAATGCTTATGTTATTTTTCTCAACTTTCGTTTGAGTGTCCAAACCTTATTGAAAAGAGGACTTTAAAAACAGTAAGCACAGGTGGAGCTAACCGGCATCAATGTTGGGAAAGAGGATGAGAGTCTTCTTGTTGAAGGAAATCAACGCATCCAGCATCAGCCCATAGATTTTAACAGAGTGCTGGATGTTCGTCGTGACCGGGTGCTGCAATGCTACAATATAGTCACCTTCCTGGACCTTGTCATCTGCAAGATGCAAATATCACATAAAATACAAACGTAGACTTATTTCTCATTAAATAATTTTGTCCTGTGAATATATTTCTGCATACCCAACCAGCTTTTGATGATATCCATGTAGTCCTCTCTGTGATGAGACAATAGCAGCTTGTCATATGAAGGGCAGCCAGCAAGGAGGATACGAGAGTGGTCCTCACACATAGCTATGAGGTGCTGCTCTGCCATCCGTGTGCAGCAGGCGTGGTAATGGGCCAGTTTACTGATAGCATGGCGGATTGAGTCATCAATTGTACCACTAACCTGGAACAAGCAGCACAGGATAGAGTTAAAAAATAATAATAATACTGATGTAACCACCCCCATCCTCCAGTAGCTAGTGTCCTCTATGTTTTAAATTCTAGGTGACTCCCTTCTTTTGTTATCACAAGATTTTCAGAAAACCTGACCTCTGAACTTGATCTCAAGGTCAAGGTCACCAAAATTCAAACTCCTCTGGCATGTTTTTGAAGATGCACCTATTGTATGAATTAGAAAACTCTAGGTGACAACTTTTGAGATACTGTTATGACATAGTTGGGTGTCCAAGCTGTCCACCTGCCCAGCCCATCAGCCTTTTACAGCTGAGGGGTAAAACAAAAAGAAGAAAAGATTCTGCACTGGCAGAATGCATAAAAAAAATCTAAGTACTTATGATGCAATATTGCCCCCATATTTTAATTTTCTTTTCATTGTGTGCTGCTTTCAAGAAATGTAATTGCCTCTAATGAAGGAGAAACTGTTCAACTGGGTTTCCTCACCTCTCCTCCCTCCAGGTGAAGTATTCTAATATTCATTAATGCTGCAGCAGTAGCCAAAGCGAGAGCATCGAAACGATCACCGTGTACGACCAGGATGTCAGGTTTCAGTCTCTGTATAACATCAGGGAGTTTTACAAGTGCCAGCCCAACACTTTCCACCATGGCAGCCTCGTCCTCTCCTCTCACAATAGTGTGGAGCTTCGAGCCAATGTCAAAGTCGTCCTGCTCAATCATCCGAAAAGTGTTCCTGCAAAAACAAAACACTTCGGTAAGTTGCAAACAGCACAATGTATACTGAAAGTTCCAAATCATGGGATGGCAACAAAAGGTTTCATTTTTGCAATGTTTTTGAGATGCAATAAAAAAAAAAAAAAGACTGGAAGCTTATTTTTGGAACTTGGCAATGTGAGATTCAAATTTTAAATGCTGACCAAGTTATCAGAGTTATCTTTTGCACACAAATATTGAGTGAGTATGGAAAATATGACATGTCTCTATGAATATTCTAGGCTTATATACTCGGTCTTGCTTAAAACATGCAGACCATTGTTATACTGTCTGTGCAGTTGTTTGACTCCTTTACAAATGTTCGAATCCCATCCGTTAGACACCAAAACTGGATAAATATCACAAATCTCTCAAATCTCAAACTCACTATTGATATCAATGTTTTTTTGCCGTCACTCCACAACTGTAATCTTTTCCTCAGCAACCAAACCCCATGAGTTGCTATGTAATTTTACTCCTAGTAAATCAGTTATGTGGTTTGGATGCACTGGTGTCCTTCAACTCTTCATTTATTTTACAGGTCACCGAGCAAACAAAATGTTGTTGGCTATTTTGTGAGCATCTTCTGAAGGTCCACAAGTGAAAAAGAAAAGAAAAAGTGGCATTTGCAAAGGAAAAAAGTTGGGTCGTCTTACCCGTAGTCATCAATGAGATGTGAACCAAGCACCACAACTTCCAGTTCAAAGTCTTCTGGGTGGGATTTGATCCCAGACATGATGGGGGCCAGCTTGGAATAATCTGCTCTGTTGCATGTTGCCACACACACCCTCAGTTTCCTCTTACACTAAACCAGAAAACAGTGTAACCACCACACGCACACAAAGACACACACAGATAGTTTTTGTCATTTTTATTTAGTATGCAAAACAAAGAAATACGTCTCTCAGTTATTTCACTGAGGTCTGAAGGAATATTATCATCTCCACACATCCTTGAATTTCAACTATATACTACATATGCATCTGCTTCACAACAACTATATACATTTTTTTTTAAATTGAGCCAAGACATAAAATCATACCTGATTTGACTCTCCCATCTTTTCCATTGATTTCTTCTCTTTGTTCCTTTGCATTCTCAGAAAATACTGCTCCTGGGGGAAAAATAAAAATGCTGTAGGTAAGATCAAAATAAGAATGTGTAAAACATTATCTTATACATTATTTTCTTTATACACAACACCCACAGATCATACTCACTTGGGCCTTCCAAATATTCAGAGGCTGAAGCATGAAAATAAACAAAACTACACTAAAAATGATTCATATTTAACATGAAGAACACACGCTAACACATTATTTACCCGACAGAAAACATGCTCTACAACAGTGCTTTACTTTACAAGGCCAAAGTGACGCACCTAGTAATGTGACGTAAGAAAACCTGTAGCACCAGCTATGCAGCTAATAACACTTTCAGCTTAACAGAAACACAGAAAGACGTATGCGAGAACTTTGGATTGGCAAAGACATAATTTATAGTACTTTTTAAATGTAAACTGTCATACTGTCTTCTGTGAGAAAAAAATTATTGCTCCTCTTCCATTCACCCATTATTCTGAATAAATACCAGATCCTGCAATATGTCATTTTAAAGGATTTATAGCTCCTCCAACATGATGATAGCTTTGTTTATTCACTAGACAATATTGCTTCCATTTGCTGCAAGGAAGAAACCATATCAGTTGTGTTTTACCAGTCTGTCTATATATTTAGGCAAATGAGGTATATCACTAATGCTGGTAACATATAATATTCAAGGTTCAAGGTTCTTTATTTGTCACATGCATAGTTATACAAGTATAACACACAGTGAAATGTAGCCTGACACGCTCCTCGACATGTGCAAAAATGTGTTGTTGTTTTTTTTTACTACAAAGTTATCTGGATAAGCCAAAACTTTGTATTACATTTAGTTGGTCAAATTACAAAGTCTCAAAAAATGTCTCAAAAAATACTTTTTTTTTTTTAAAAAGTCCAGGATACGGTGGAGGAGGAGCCGTGGCATGGATGAAGGTTTCAAAACCCTGTTTATCCATAATGTGCTTGAGATGTTCTGTGAAAGAGCTTAACAAAGCTACAAGACAAACAATTTAACCCTGGGTTAAACACTTTTGTGCGCCTGTTTATCCTGACTGCTAATGTAAAATGCCCTGGTTGTGATGATCTTGCCTTGTAGTACTGTCTAAGAAACATCCTCTGTGTATTTCTGCTGCTTAAACAGGTAGTTCCAGATCCTGCTAGTCTTAAGGAAACAACCTGAACGATGTCATTTAAGGGATGCAATAGGCACATAAACGACACACCTAAAAACACAATAGTAAAAGATGAGCCTGTTCAAATCTTGACATTCATCTTCCTTTGTCACTAAAGATAAATAAGACCAATTTACATAAGGACATAAGGGGTAAAAGTTCCGAGCTGTCAAATTTGTTCTTAATTTTATCAATTTCTATGATCTCTGCCTATAGAATAATGTTATGGTTACAGATTAGAGAAAAAAAACAAGTTTGAATTCAATTCAGTACTTTATTGTCCCACAAGGGGAAATTTGTTTAGCACCAAGGGCAATGTATAGTGTATACACACACTATATCGTGTATACAATATAGTGTGTTAAATCTAAATAAAATCATAAATAGATGTTATTCAAATTATTTAAACCTATGTTTACATATAAAAATGCAAATAAATCGTGAAATTGAGAAAGATTTGAATATGAAACTACAACCAAGTTAGTCTATCGTTATACAATAATGTAACTAAAGCAGTGATGCTTAACATTTTCTTTTCCTTAGCATTTGAGTACAACGGTAAAGATGTAAACATTTCACTTGTTAGCATATAGCTCTAAATCAACAGTCTTGCTCTTGTCAGGTGCTAACACCATTTTAAAGCAGAAATCCTAAAACTTTAGCCAATATTTCTTCCACAGAACATACAGCTAGCAACTCACAGATAGTCAGTGTGTTGTTATCATTGTGCTGCCTCTGTTGCAAACTTTTGAGTTTAATGGAAATAACACAAGAGAAACTAGTAAGCTAAGCATGGCCTTGAAGAAATAACTGCAGCTAGTCTATTGAAACCACATCTGACAATCAAGGTTTGAGACTGAGAAGCTGAAGTATCATAAGATGGTCCTACCCTGAAGGACAGAGCCATGAATCTAGCCACTGAGCTTCACTGAAAGTGTTTACTGGGGTCACAAATCAAATGGGTAGTAGTGCTATTTTCCATGTATAGCGTTCTACACAATCCATTTCCTTCTGCTAAAATAGCAGGTATAAGGTGTATCCACTAGAGATGGCACGATACCACTTTTTTATGTCCGATACCGATATCATAAATTTGGATATCTGCCGATACTGATATGAATCCGATATAGTGTTTTTTAATCAACAAAACTGTTTTTTTTAATATCTTGCTGCATTTTGTATAAGTTCATACTCAAGTTTAAAACAACAACTACACTAAAGCTATTCTGTTATACCTGTATGCAAAAAAAAAATATTTCATAGTTCAGCAATACTGATCAATCTAATAAACTTAAACCTACACCATCCTCCCTATTCTGGTATTTTAAAGAGTACTTAGCATAAATATTAAGCAATCTAACTAATAGGGTTCCAACTCCCAGCAACAACAAAAATAAATAAATAAAAAATAGGGAACCACCCCTCACGCTCCACCTCATGATGCTTAATCGACGTAATCAACCTTAATTTGATGCAGTGTGAAAAAAAATGCACAGAAATCAATTATTTTTCAAGAAATATTAAATAGATTCAACATCTTTCTTCAACAGAATTGCAGACTGCACAGATGGTACCTTCCCAAAGGGAAAAGTGCTATAGCTTACTAGGGTATATATATTAGACTTAATAGTTACTATATACAGTAATTGACTTCTATTCATTTTACATCAAATTAAAACTTTGGGTGTCAGATAATTATTTATTAAAAGCTAGACATTTTAAATGAGAATAAGAAAGAAAAGTATGTCTTTGTGCCCCCTTTTCCCTGTTAATGCCCTATCGGCCCCCCTGGCTAAACTTCGCTAGATCCGCCCCTGCACAGTTACCAGCCGTCAGCTACGTAGAAAAAGATCCTCGAGTAGAAAGTAATATTAAATACATTCTAACAATAGCTGATCAAGCTTAAACGTGCTGCTGTTGTTCAGCCGCTGGTTTCCTCTTTCTGGTGCAAAGTGGGCCAAAAGCAAACTAGAGACACGGACTCGCGACAGAAAAGCCGATCAGCTGATCATTAAGCAGTTTCATGATTGAAATAGCAGCAGGAGAGGCAGTCGCTTGTTAAGCTTAACGCAGGAATGCTTTACAAACATTCAGAGATGGACTTACGCACTTGCTTTACTTCTCTCGGGGATAACTTTGTCGGAGATTAAATGCCGGGTTGCTAGCAAAGCTCCAAATGCTATCCAGACCACCACAGGTCCCGCATGCCACAGCCGCTCTATCACGTGATGCATACTGCTCCGACGTGCTAACGTTCTGAGGTGAGTTACGGCGTGTTGCAAGTTTTGTGAGGTGCTTTCGTGATATTTAATGGATCGGATTACATTTTTTATTTTTCTCCGATATCCGATCCAGTAATTTAGGTCAGTATCGGACCGATACCGATACGTAATATCGGATCGGTCCATCTCTAGTATCCACATTGGCTTCACTTTCAGGCCTGGACCTCTACATCTTTCAAATATAGTATGTTTTCAGTAGCATTTTGTAGCTTTCCATCATTGCCTCCAAAATCAAGTACCTTGAAAGAAATGTGGATGATGTCTGTTGTTAACCGTTAAGTAATAGAAAAGCTGGTTTTGTTTTGTTTAGAATGAGGGCTTTGCTGCAGGAAAAGGCACCCTCACTTTAATTATTAAGAATTCAATCAGCTATCACAGCAGTGTGGTGCACCATGTTCTTCAACCCAATTTCAACCAAGTATTCATGCCAAGTGTTATATCTGTGATTTAGTTAAAGCAACATTAATTCTGGTGTTACATACACGGGTAAATCCTGTAATTTACCCTAAATTGTATTCAGCATGCGGTTGGTTCCACTCAAGCATCACAAGACAGCATCAGCAGCCAGCATTAAGGTATGGGAGGGGGCAGGGATGCATGCAGAACGCAAAGGCAGGAATGACACAGCAATAGGAGGCAGACAGAGATGCTCAACGTACAGAAGGGAGAAAAGAAAATGAGCAGCAATAATCAGATGATGATTTAAAACAAACGAACAAAAAAAAAATATATGGAATCATGCTAAATGACAAAAAGGCCCATCTGACTTACGTGAGGACTTATCTGCACAGAACCCAGATGCATATCCATGCCACACCTCTACAGATTCTTGGCTAAAAAGCAATCTTTGATTGTTATTATTATTATATTCTTATTATCCAAGGATTTGTTTTTGCCGTTATCATGGACGTATTGAGGAACGAAGGGAGAGCATGCGCAACCCAGCACACAGCAGGAGAGAAAGGAAGTGAGAGAGGTAGCGCGACACAGACATAGAGCTGGGGGAGGAGCAGGAGACGAGGGTAGGGTTCAATTGAAATAATGCCAATGATTCACCGAGTATGTGACAGCAAACAATGAAGAACAAAGGCTTGGCACTTCATACTCTATATCATATGCCTCTAGTTATTATGAAAAAATAAAGTAATTCCCTATTGCAGTAATAGACATGAAATTGTTAAGTGCTGTTTTTCATGACCCTGTTTAAAAAAAAGAAAGAAAAAACATCTATGCAATGTTAAACTAAAATGAAAACGCATAGTAATGATTTACTAATAATTTCAAAAAATATTAAAGCAGCTTTAAATAGTTTAGCTGCCATTGTACATTTAAAAGGTGCAAGAATTTGACTCCAATTAATTCAGTGATTATCAAACCAAATCTGCTGTCAGCATGAAACTGAATTGAACTGCACAAACTAAATTGAACTACATTAATTAAGTCAATTTAAATGAATGATTAAAGGGGTCATAGTAGGGATAGTTACAGGAACACATTTATGCACAATATATTGATACAATAACCACTACTGCAAATACTGACTTTGAATTTATACATATAAACATTAACTTTACAAATATATTTTTACCTATATTTTTTAAAAATACAAAGAATAAAAAAAAAGAAAAAGACTACAACATTATGTTTAACAAATTATTTGACAACTAATCTTTTAGTCTGTGTCACAGCTTACCTATGTCAGTAGAAGAAGAAAAACAGATTGAAATTTACCGTTAGGCCCTAACGATCCTTTTTCTCTCTCTCTGAATAATTAACGGTCATCAGTGCTGGGCCATGTGCCTAAAAACATGCAACATTCACATTTAAAGCAGCACGCTATTATTCCTATGAAGCTGAAAGTATTTATTAAAGTCAAATAGCTGGATACAAATACAACCTCGACTTGTAACTGACCAGTAGGGAAAGGTTACATTCAGTGGTGGGTCTAATTATTAACCTTTTGTAAGCAGACGTGTGCAACTCAGGCAATTCTTATGTTCAGACAGGTTTTGACCATTCTCCCTATAGGGCATGAGACTTGAGAGAGAATCATAAGAGGAGGCAACCATACTATATTTTTTAATTATATGGGGATGACTGAATAAAGTCAAGAATGAGGGACATTTCACAACTGACAGAAACGTCACTATGCATTGCATCTCTTAAAACGGCTTTAAGGAAGCAATGAAAACAGATATGTTTATGTAGTGAAAAATCACAATATCAGGAAACAGCTCGTCCTTGCATCAACAGCTAACACTTTAGCATGCAAACACGCAAATATTATACCACTTGTAAAGGATCCAGCTTTGCCTGGGCCCAAGCTGACTGAAGATCAATAGGTGAAGCTGAAAGCTGCGTGGTCTTATACAAAAATTTGAACGTATCTTTAAAAAACACGCTAAAGAGGAGTTGGAGAATCTAGCTTGAAATCTGTGTACAGTTCAAAAGCCAGTCATATCAATCACTGAATGTAACAGTGAACTCATCTCCAAATGTTAGAAGGTGTACAAAGAGATAACCGCTTATTTCTGAAATATATTGGTCTTTATGCTATTCAATAAATACAAATAATTCTGAATGTAATGTATTTTTCAATAAATATTGAAGCAGGACTTTCTTTTTATGCAAATTCAATAATATGCAAAGGCAGTGCTAAACAGCTAATATACATGCCACCTATACAACAAGCTTCCCAAGTTCACAACACGTTAAAAGAAAAGGAAGTGTAACACATTGTTCAGTTGCTTTCTTAAACAGGTTTTTCTTTTTTGAAACATCTCTCACTGCCATTATATTGACCAAAGAAAGCACATATTCTGAAATAAAATTAAAAATAAAACAGTGGTGAACATTCCCAGGAGGGGCCAGCCAACCAAAATAAGAGTCTATTGTCAACTCATTCAAGAGCTGTTGACTGTTAACCTACTGATTCAAGACATCACTTATATAACTACAAAAAGTAAGTAATTTGTGTTTGGTCAATTATTTGTTTCCGGTGACAATGCCTATTCACAGTATGTTTTACATTTGTAAGGAAAATAGATTTTTTTGGTTAAGTAACAGAGTTGTGTTGCACCGATGAAAATCACGCCAAATCTTCTGTGCTAAATAATGCCAAAAAACGTATTCTGCTACTGCTATGATCTAAAGAGACTCAAGAACAATGTTATTGACATTTATCAGTGTAAAAAGGGCTACAAAGCCATTTTTACACTTTGGGACGGCAACAAGCCATGGTGAGAGCCATTCTCCATAAATGGAGCAAACCTGGAACAGTGGTGAACATTCCCAGGAGTGGCCAGCCAATCAAAATAAGAGTCTATTGTCAACTCATCCGAGAGCTCACAAAAGAATCCCAAACAACTAAAGAACTGTAGGCCTCCCTTGTCTGTGTTACGGTCTGTGTTCATGAGGTAAGAGAATATTTCAGTTTTCTTATCTTGTGTTATTTCAACTCTTAAGACTTCTAAAGCATTTTTATTGTCTGATAAAGACTGGTTGCATGCCAGTGCACACACCCACTTACTGGCACAGACAAACCCTTGGAAAGTTGCAGTTGAACTTGGAATGTGTGTGCAAGCTGTTACATCATGTGTCAAAACCGTCCCAAGTGGCCGCCTACTCCCATAAGACTGAATTACTGTAGGAGTTCAAATTAAAACGGAGACAAATATGATGCACCGTACTCCATTCTGCCATACCGGATTGAGAGTCATATTGCTCACTGGCTCCGTAGGACTTTGTTTATTTAAGTAGTTCAGGGACCTGCAGGATCCTGCTTCACTCAATTTGCATAGGAGTTCAAGGTAACTTAGAAAAATTATCTATTTACAGGGAAAAAAGTGACAGAACACTGAAAAATAGGAACAACAGCAGCTAAAATGTTCATTCAGATATATAAAGTCTTCATTAAAAAGCACAGAGGGAAGTACTTCCTGCTTTGCCCTAAGTAAATATGTTGCAACACAAAGAAATCCACACGAAGAACACTCTTCATCCATGACAGTAATCTTTGAATTTAACAGTTGATCTAACTGCTTTCCTTTTCAAAGGTACGCAGTTTCTGTAGTTCTGTTGTGCAGTTAAAATGTTTGCAAAGACACAAATAGGCCAAAGTCCACACCAAATATTTATTAAATATGGCTGCCAAAATGCCAACACCTTATTTGCAGTCTAGGCTTTTCTTGTATTACCAGTCTATGTAAAACAATGGTATAATGTCAACCAGCATAGCACACCGTCTTCCAAAGAATAGGGAGCAGTCACAACTAAGCCCAGACGTAGTTACATGATTGCTTCTCTCCTGCACACTGCTCATAAAAACTGCAAATAAAGCCTGACAAAATGACAGTTGAGGACCTTAAAGACAACTACGATGTAACCTTAGTGACACTTCCATGTAAAGGAAATAATGAGAATACCATTACCAAACTTATGGTACTGTATAATGGTTATGACACTTGATAGTTAAATATTTGACATCAGGGTTTGCACTGCCTCAACAAGCTGTCAATTCTATTAAGATTATGCAAATACATTACCATCCGCATACAGCTGGAACATCCTGGTATACAAGTTATACAGATCAGGTGTGCTGACTGACAAATAACACAAAAATAGCAATACAGAGTCAAAAGCAGCTCCCAGGTAAGACCAGGAGAGTAAAAGGGCATCATGGATAATCTGCATTTTTTTCCCATTAAGCTGACCAAGGACTGAATGTAAGGGTCTTCCTGTGTGGACATTGTTTTACACTGTGCAGCAAAGACTTGAACGTGTTGTACAGAGATTTCCAGCCCACAGCCCACTCAGTAGCTCTCTATTTCTCTGTCCATGAAGCTTTTCAGCCCAGAAATCCTCCAATTGCTGACAGATTATACCACATCCACTGTTTCAAGATTAGTTTCAATGTAGATGCACACTTATAAAATCAAATAATAAATTAATTAAACTGCTTTAATATTTGAACGTTATAATTTATTCAGCTGTTTTCAGCAGGCCAGTAAAAATATACATGGGCCAGTAAAGCACAGAGCCACGGACCCAGAGCTGTTATGTTGGATACAAAATTTTTACTAACATTATTTTTAAACATCTAAATCATCAGTACATCCGTTTTCTACAGCAGTAAACGTGGCATCAAAGCACAGGCCAACTGTCAGCACTGATGATCTTGTTCTACTCGCTTTTCTTCATGCTCTTTAAAAACACACAGACCCACCTACACACATGAACAAAAACACATACAAAAGAACGCACACCAAACCTTCCTCATACCGTCACAACACCTTTTTTTTTAAAGCTCCTCTTAACACAGAGGTTAAAAGCGCTTGAACACTGCTAGCATAATGGACAGACTTTTGACGGGGCTTGCACACAAACGCAAAGCAGGAGATGAATATAAATATATGCAGTAGATAAATGTGTTTCCAAACCAACTTCCTTCCAAGCCAAAGACAAGAAAATATGGTGGTGAAAATATGGTGACGCATATTCCATTCGGCTTCACCTGCACAAGTGCCAAGGTAGGTCTCCCCTGCAGAATTGGTTTTCCCTGCGTCGGGAGCACTCCAAATCACGGACAAACAGTATCCTACATTCTTGATTTTTAGTTCACAAACACTTCTTGTAATGGCTAACTACTCCTGACATGTTGGAGATGTTAGCTCTTTATACAATAAAATTACAGTGGGATACAAATAATACCAGGCTGATCCTGCCACAATTTGTTTCCCCGGTTCAAATCACGGACAAACAGTATCCCACAGCTGTTTATGTTTTTGAACCTATTTTGCACAGAGAGGCATTTTTTGC